AGATTAAAATTATAAGATTTTTCATACTTACATCCTATTATGGTAACTCAGAGATGGTCTAGTATCAATCTATTAATTAATAGTTTTAGTATTGTACTTACAAAACTTCTACTGCTCACATACCCTGATTATAGAAATTTGCTATGAATGGAAAAGGAGGGATATAGCTATAACAATATTAAGATTCACCCCTTCAAGGGCAGACTGACCTGACATATGCTATAACAGGGTATCTCGAGCAAATTTGATCAAAGTAGGCTGAGGTACAAACTCTGAGCAAGATGAGTTTATTAAAAGTGATGTGGATAACTGTTAACAGAGTGAGTCATACTGGCAACCTCAGCAAAACCAGTGTCCCTTCCCCCCCCAGAAGGAAGGGACCTTCTTTATTAACACACAACAAAGAAGGAGTTTTGGTATGGAGAAAAGGTGATAAGTTGTAGGGTTGGGCCAGAAACATTACAATTGGTTATTCTGAGAAAGGTGGGCTGGCATTGGGGTGAGGCTAATCATGCCCTTCTGTGACAATTAAGATGTCAATTGTTTTACAGGACCATCTGCATCTTATAGTCCTTGCTAGGTGATCACGAAGTAACAGACATGTCTCCTTAGAAGAGATAAAAACCTTCCTTAACTACACAAAGACAGGAAAAGATAGATGACGTATCTTTTGGGGATGATAATTTTGTGGAACCAAGCAAACAGATATCTATGTGATATCCTAGGAGATACTAGCATAAGAGGTAACAACCTTTTTTTTTTTTAAAACTAACTTGAGCTCCAAAGCAAGGGGATGGGAATTTAACACTGCTACTTGGAGTCTCAACAAAAAATGTGGAGTCTTGGGGAAACGGATGGTGGGGCTAGGTTATGCACACTAACAGTGCCGATTTAACAGCGCACTCTTCCCCAGGTTTCATGCCAAAAGAAATTTTATCTGAAGAGGAATCCTTTGGTGTTTTACTATTACCTGAACCCATCATTCCCTTAAAGGGAGCATCTTTTCCCTATCAGGATGGGGGTAAACCTTACCTTAGCTTAGAAGAATTTGAAATTGAGGGGGGGGATCCAATCTCCAAAGGCAGTCTTCCACAAAGTCCCATGGAAAAAAGGGAGTTTTTCCCAAAGTCTGTTGTCCCAGGAGTCAAGAGGCTTGACTCAACCTAGCTTGGTTCACCAAAAACTGTAATGAGTGAAATCTGAAATAACTGAGGAAACAAAGATTCAAGCCTCTATCAGCTTATTAAGCAATGCATGCCAATTGCACAACAAATTGGGACCAGGACTCTTCATTTGGCACTAGACCCCCCAAATACAGGGGGATACATACTTTTATACATTAAAAGAAAACAATTAGCAGAATATAAACCAAGATACAAAATTAGGTCTTCTGATTTCTAATTGGAGAAAAGATTTCCAAAAAAACCCCCAACAACTCCAAGCTGGGAGGGGGAGAGTGAATAGGTACAGTTCCCTGAAATCAGAAAAAGAGATGTTTCTCTCCTCTCAAATGCCTGCATTCAATCAAAGGAGCATGGAAACAGTAACTGATTGACCAGTATAGGACCAGTTTTCTTAAGATAAGACATCTAGGTTGCTTCAGATATCTAATTGTGACAAAACCCCTTGCATCAATCTGCGGATCTGACCAGATCTCTGGTCAGCATAAACTAGGTGCTTTAGTTAAGGGTTTCTAAACAAGAGATAGAGGTGTCCAGCTTCCCAGCCACGCAAGGCTAGGTTCAAACAATGCAATAAAGTTTTCTCAAAATTCCCGTAATGGAATAAAGTTTTCTCACAAGACAGAAATTGGACTAGACCTACAATTGAATAGAAAGCGACTGAGCTGGATCCAAAATTGAGTCACAAGATAGAGTCAGTGTGGTTCAATCAATTCCCACAATACTTCAGAACACCTCTGTGTCATCCCCTATTCTTTCCTTCTGCTTCCGTCTCTGACATAGAGGTAGCCAGCCCTCATCCTTACCAAGGCCACGTCTTCTACTTGTACCCTTGATCCCACACCTCTAATCTCATCCAAGAACTTGCCTCTTTGTTTCCCTCTCTCTATGTCTCTCTGTCTCTGTCTCTCTCCTCTGTCTGTCTCCCTCTCTCCTCTCCCTTCCTCTCTCTCTCTCTCTCCCCCGTCCCGTTTCTCTGCCTCTCTCTGCCTCTGCCTCTCTCTATCTCTCCCTCTCTTTCCCCTCTCTCTCCTTCCCTCTCTCCCCCGTTTGTCTGTCTCTCCTCTGTCTCTCTCTCTCTCTCTCTCTTCTCTCTCTCTCTCTCTCTCTCTCTCTCTCTCTCTCTTTCTTCTCTCTCCTTATCCATTACTTCTTCTCTGTTGTTTATACACATTCCCAGGTTTCCTTCATCCTAAAAAATCCTTCCCTTCACCTTGCTATTTCCTCAGGTTATTACCCTATATTACTCACCCCATTTCACAGCAAAAGTCACCTAAAAAGTTATTTGCTTCCTCACCTCTCATTCATTTCTCATCTTCTTCCAGTCTGATTTCTGACCTCAGAGTGAAACTTACTGTTGATCTCTTCATTGCTAAATTCCATGACCTTTTCCTGGCCTTCATCCCTCTTGACCTCTTTTAAGCTTTTGATATTGTTGCTCTCCCCCTTGTCTCCTCTCCTCTCTCAGCTTTCATCACACTACTTTCTCCTAGTTCTCCTCCCACCTGTCTAACCACTAACCCCAGTTTCTTTGGGGGATCATCACCCATCCCCCACCCCACAGCCATAGGTGTCCCCAAGGCTCTCTCCTGGGCTCGCTTCTGTTTCCTCTGGCAAACTTCTCTCAGTAATCTCACAGGATTTCCAAATCCATATATCTCGGTCCAATTTTTCTCCTGAGCTACAGTCCCCAGTCACAAACTCTTTTCTGGAAATCTGTAACTGGATAGCCACAAGCCATCCCAAGCTCAATATATCCAAACCAGAACTTATTATCTTCCCCTCTGAACCTATTCCTTCTATAAATCTTCCCATTTCTGTGGAAGACAAAACCATCCTTCTAGTGTCAGACACTTCCCCATATTCCTGCCCACTCCTCCCAAACCCAATGAGTTGCCAAGTCTCACTCCCTAAACAGCTATGGATTAGACTAGAGAGCCTTTCAGAGCCCTGGTTCTGAGATTCTGGATTGAGAAGGGAGTCAATGGAGGCAGCAAGTGTAGACAACTTTTCATAGGAGTTTGGTAATGAAATGAAGAAACAGAAGATGAGTAACTAAAGGGATGGCAGGATCAAGGGATGGTATTTTAAGGGTAACCCTTGGGTCAGACTCCCTTCTGACCCAAAGGGGCTGTGCAAACTTTGGGTTGAAACTTCTAAGGGCTTCATCCACCCAGATGAAGCCTGGAAAAGGCATAAAGGGTGGCCACTGATTCCCCTACAAGCACATAAGCAGACAAAGCATCAAATACAGATTTTATATAACACAGTAGAGAACCTAAAGATCTTGTACCTGAGCCCACATGACAGGCATAAAACATACTTTCATTTTCTGGCAGCCCCCCACCATCTTAAGGTACTATATAGTCCTCTAGACTTGGAGTAATACTCTTAGAACAATACTTCTTTGAGGATAAGTCACCATCAACAAGGTGGAAGACCTTGGAATTGCTAGAAAGGCAATCATCCATCCTTTTCTGGGGACCTGCATAGTTCAGGTACTGCTCTTAATGGAGTGCCCCACCAGGGGAAAGAATGAAAGACCCCTTAGAGAATCAGGAGACTCCACCCTCTTTCTAATGGGATCTGGTCTCCAGGAACCTGAACTTTCATAGAATTATAGCCTAGAGAATCAGAGTTTTGGAAGTGGAAGGGAATTGAGAGGTATTTAAATCTCAATCTGTCTTTATTTTTGGTTTTTTAAATGTTCCATTGCTTTTTTTAAAAACATGTTACTTCCCAATAACCTCTTCACCTCCATAGAACTTTCCTTTGGGTTCTAATAAATAAAAGCCATTAAATAAACTAATTCATCTTGTGCAGAACCAAAGCACCACACATCTTCCTTTGGCCATCTCCAAATCATGCCCCCATACCCTCTACTACCCCCCCCAACTTACCACTTCTCCTTTTCCAATTCCCATTCCTTTTTATGGGTTGTTTTCCCTGATTGTCACGTAAGCTCTCTAAAGGCAGAGACTCTCTCACCTTTGTATTTGTAGCCCCTGTGCTTAGAACATAGTAATCGTAGTCAGGTTTTTCATTCATTCATTCATTCCTAGACCAACCCTTCTACTTTTGCCCTGATCGCCTTCCCTCATTTGTATCAAAATGACAGCTGCAAGAAGAGACACAACCTGGAGCCACAGTGGAAAATATCTGCTGGAGAGGCAGCTAGATGGCGCAGTGGATAGAGCACCAGCCCTGAAGTCAGGAGGACCTGAGTTCAAATCCAGCCTCAGACCAAACACTTGACACTTACTAGCTGTGTGACCCTGGGCAAGTCACTTAACCCCAATTGCCTATTAACCCCCCTCCCAAAAAAGAAAATATCAACTGGAAAAGAATGAATAGGAATGAGACAGACTGTGATTCAAACAATCACAGGCTTAGAGTTGGAAGGGACCTAATCCAACCCCCTTATTTTTTGTTTGTTTGTTTGTTTTTGTTTTGGCTAGGCAATGGGGTTAAGTGACTTGCCCAGGGTCACACAGCTAGTAAGCGTTATGTGTTTGAGGCTGGATTTGAACTCAGGTCCTCCTGAACCCATGGCCAGTGCTCTATCCACTGCACCATCTAGCTGCCCCCAACCCCCTTATTTAAAGAATCTAATCCAACCCCCTCATTTTACAGATGAGGAAACTGAGGCCAAAAGTGGTTAAGTGACTTTCCTCAAATCCCACTAGCAGTCAGTAGCAGAGCTGAGACTCTGATCTCTAAAGCCAGCGTTTTTTCATCTATATGTGCCCCTCCCACCTCAGGCCAAGGCTTCCCACTGGGTGGTGAAGGGGAACAGAGCAGACAGATATTCACCTCAAAACCCTCTACTTTATTCTTAATCCTGTGCACCCTGGTAATGTTCAGAGCCAAGCTCTGAGGTGCCCCATTTAGCAGTGAATATTCACACTTCCTGGAGCCAGGTCTGTCCCATAGTGCCTGTCTCCCCATCCCCATCCTAAGACAGTCATTCTCTCCAGCCCCACAGGCCAGATCCAAGGCCTCACCCAGGGTCCAGGCTCCTTCATTGACCCTTCTCCTTGGCAGCTGGTGGAGTGGGGGAGTGGGTGTGGGACCCAGGTATCCTGCCCTCCCCAGTTCCAGGTCCCTGTGCCCATCGGGAGCTCTTGAGAGAGAATTTGACTGTTTGAGCGGTGACTGCAGTCTCAGGGTTGGGGTAGCTGGGGAGCAGCAAGAGCAGGAGGGGATTTCCGTGGTCATGCCCGAGCTTCAGGCAGATCCAGGAGGCTGGGTGGGTATAGCTGCTCTTGTCCTGCGTCCTGCCCGATCATCGATTCATCTTCTGGTATCCAGAGACTGAAGAGCAAGGGAGGGTTTGTCTGGGTGGGGTGGCAGAGGGATAGACATCTCATTCTTTCACTCTCCCCCACCCCCACCTGCCTTTAGGCAAGAAGAGCACTCCTGCTGCGACCCTGGTGTCCTGAGGCTTACTGGAGCCTTGGTAGAGACAGCTGGAAAGGGCCTTGGAAATGATCTAGCTGCCAGGGGTGGGGAACCTATAGCTTCGAGGCCACATGTGGCCTTCTAGGTCCTTGGGTGGGGCCTTTTGACTCCAAGTTTTGCCGAACAAATTCTTTTATTAAGGGGATTTGTTCTGGGAAGTTTGGATTCAGTCAAAGGGCTGCGCTTGAGGACCCAGAGGGCCACATGTGGCCTCGAGGCTGAAGGCTCCCCCCCCTTGCACCAACCCACTCAATCTAAAGATGAGGAAACTGAGGCCCAGACAGGGACGGATGCAGCTAAGATCCCATACTAAGTAGTACAGCTGGGACTGGCGTCCTGGTCTTTCAACCCACCCCAACTCCTTCACTCTTTCGGTGACACCCCTTTTCTTCAGCCTGTCTTAATGTGTCTTCCCAGGAACAGACCTGACCTTCCAGTCTTCCTGGCCGTTTCCCACCCTTTACAGATACAGCTTGGCAATGTGATCTCAAGTGCTTTTAAATTGTTTCACTTAAAGCCTTCCAACGCTCCGTGAATCCAGAGTATGGAACCCTGGGCAAATCAATGAACTTCTTTTTGCCTCAATTCCCTCATCTGTAAAATAGGGGTGGGGTTTGTTGGGGTCGATGGTCTCTGAGTCTCCCTTGGCTCCAAGACTACCAACCCATTTGGGAGGTCCCCTCTTCCCACAAGGACCCGACGTGATGTGACTGCTGCCATGGAATCTGAGCCCGAAGTCAGGATGTCCACCCACCCTTTCCTTGCTCAAGAGCCTGGAGAGGATGTCTTGGCTGTGCATCGTGGTTTCGCTCGCTTCAGAAAGGTTCCGATGCCACTTCCGTTGTAACATCTCTTCTTCTTGCTCCTGGTTGAAGCGGATGGAGCGAACCTGTTCCACGATCCTGGAAGGGTAGGGGTATGGATGGCGGTGGACTTGGCGGGGTCGGGGACGGGAGAAAAGAGGACGAGGGTGACCGAAACTGAGGATAGAAGTCCGGCCCTAAAAAAGCCCCTCCTCTCACCCAGTCATTCGCACAACCTCATCCCATCCAGGCTGCCCTCCTTTAAGGACACTCCCTCCCCGCAGCCCTCCTGCTCCTTCCAGGAGTCTCCACTCCTACACACTGGCCCCCCTTCTGCTGCCCCGCTCAAGTGCATCCCCCATCCCCCTCCCAAAGCTTTCTCCTCTACCGCCACCCCTTTCCCAGGCCTCCCCTTTCCCTACCAGGGACTCCTTTCCCTCTGGGTAACCCTCCAAGATGAACTGTGTCAGAAAGCTCTCCTGCCAGCTGGGATTCTGACCTACCGAGCCCTGGTTATCCTTCTCTCCCCTCCGCTCCCCTCCCCCTTTTCAAGTCCCCTCCAGGTCTCCCCCAACCCTGCGCACCCTCCAGGTCCCCTCCGCGCCCCTCCCAGATCCTCCTCCCCCGCCCCCCCCGTCTTTTCCAGGTCCTCTGCCACCTGCGCCCTCTCCAGGTCCTCTTCCCCACCTCCGTCCCTGACAGGTCCTCTCTCCCCAATCCCGGCCATACTTGTTGATCTCCTCCCGGATCTTCTTGTAGGCCTGCAGGTTCTCCTGGATGCCTATGAGCACCAGGCAGAAGTCGTCGCAGGTGTTCTCAGACAGGTTCTGCATCGGCCCGCCAGACAGTGGCTCCTGCTTGGACGTCCCACCCCAGTCCGCGATGCATTCCCTGCAATGCACTAGCTGAAGCTCTGGTTTCTCGTCGCTTGTGTAGTCATCTTGGCTCATCTAAGCACAACACAATCACAACTCACATTTTTATAGTAGCCCACTCCTCCTCGAAGTCCTGTGAAAGTAGGCAGGGCAGTTGGTGAATGGGATCCCCTTTTCAGAGGTGTGGAAACTGAGGTTTGGGGAGGAGAGGAGATTTGCCCGAGGTCAGGGGGACCAAAACCACCGAGGCTGGAGGAGGTCACCCCATATAACCCCTGCCATAATCAGGAATCCTCTCCAAGGTACCCTAGATTTGTGGCCATCCAGCCTCAGCTGGAGCCTCCAGCAGAAAGGACACTAGATACCTCCTGGGCAACCTGATTCACTTTGGGATAACTAATTGTTGAAGTTTTTTCCTTCTATTAAGTCAAATTCAGCCTCTCTGTTACGTTTTGCCTGCTAATACACAGAACAAAACTAATCCCTTTTCAAAATGGTGACACTTCAAATATTTGAATACAATTATTGTGTCCCTAATAAGTTTTCTCTAGATTATACCTCTGTTCCCAGTTCTTTCCACCTCTCACAGTAATAGCAAAAATAATAATAATAATAATAGCTAGCATTTATGTAGTATCTTAAGGTTTGCAAAATATTTTGTAGATATTCTTTCATTTGATTCCCACATCAACCCTAAGAGGTAAGTGCTATTATTATCCTCATTTTACAGATGAAGAAACTGAGGCAGACAGAGGTTAAGTGACCTGCCCAGGGTCAAACAGTTGATAAAAATATCTGAACCAGGATTTCAACTCAGGTCTTCCTGTCTCCCTCACTCAGCACTCTATCCACTGAAATACCTAACTGCCTCTAGAATCCCTAAAAATCCTGGCTGCCCTCTGGATAAATACTCCCTCAGTAAAGTCCTTCCTAAAATGTAGTGGCCAGAGGTACACTTGGGTACTCCAGGTGTGCTCTAAGTTGGGCAGAAGACAAATTATTACTGCCTGTCTTCTACACGCTGCTTCTATTTATACACACTGCAACTGATTAAATGAACTTTTCTTCTGACTCATTTGCCATGTCCTTCTGTTGACTCATATCGAGCTTGTAGCCCACGAAAACCTCCAGATCTTTTTCAGAAACACTGTCTAACCACTACTCTCTCATATTATATATTATACTTGTGAAATTGAGTTTTTTAACCAAAGTGTAAAGACTTTACTTTTATCCTTATTAAACTGTTTGATTAAATTTGACCCTTTTTACGTGCCAGTCCTATTGCCCAAACTATTAGCTATACCTCCTAGTTCTGTGTCATCTACCCATTTTATAAGCCTGCCATTTATGCCCTCTTCCAAGTCAGTAATAAAAATGTTGAAGAGCAGAGGGATAAAGATAGAACACCAGGGCAATCCATCAGATACTTCCTCCAAACTGATATTGTGATATTTTGGAGGTTCTGTGATCTCACCAGTGAGGCCACTCCCTCCAATGAAGCAGATGGCTATACACCCATGAATACTCATCATGTCAACTCCTATTCATACTCTCCCATAACTTCTCAGGAGTTACACTTAATCTACAGGGGGCTATCCACTAGATCTCTCGATATCACATGGATACCAAAATGGCACGTGGGCTGTCCCTCAGTGATCTCTCAGTCTTGCCACATGGCTTGCCTCCTCTGGTCATGCATCTCTGTAATAATGTCCTTTCAGATCTACCATGTACCTTTCCATTGCCTTTCAGGTGTTCTACAATTTAAAATCTTTGTAAATTGTGATCCTTCATGATTTGCATGCATGTGGCAACATTGGAAGACATTTTTTTTTTGCTTTTTAGTGAGGCAATTGGGGTTAAATGACTTGCCCAGGCTCACATAGCTAGTAAGTGTCAAGTGTCTGAGCCCCAATTTGAACTCAGGTCCTCCAAGGCCGGAGCTCAATCCACTATTGTTAACATTTTTGATTTGGAGAGAACCTTGGAGTTATTAATAGTACTGCAGTTTCCAAATGGAATCTAGCCCCCACCCCCACTCCTTTCCTCCCCTTGTTCATTTAGGACCGATCCTGTTCATTTATTGTCCATCTGCAGTGTCAGTTCAAGAGGAATGCTCAATGGACCAGCTCTATGGGCTGTCCATGCAACTACTTATCAAACAGCGGGTATTCTTTATCCACTTTTTTTTTCTAATATGGATGGTAGGTTGAACTTGAGAGATTCTGGACCTCATTTAGTAATCTCTGCCATATTCTGGTCACTTGGTACATTCAACACAAGCTCATCTACAGACAGGACCATCTGGAAAATCTCACCATCTATAGAGAATTCTCCTTCAATCTAGACTATATGCTAGAAATCCTCCTAAAGTATAGGATGAATGGGAGAATGAGGATTATGAATAGAAGAAGAGTATAGAACAAAACGATCATTTGTCCCCTGACTAGCTCAGACCACACATGGAGTGTTGTGTTCGGTTCTGGGCATTCCATTTTAGGTGCCAAGCATACACGATCCTATGGCCCTTGTTGCTTGTTAACTATAAAAAAAATTAATTCTGATGTGCAAAATGCTACCTCAAAGGTTCTTCTCCAAAAAGATGTTTTCTGTGTATGTATTAATAAGTGATAATAAGATTCCTTGAAAGAGATTACCTTTTTCAATGACTGTCTGTTATCATTAATATTAAGAAACATATAATTATATGTATGTAGATAGATAGATAGATAGATAGATAGATAGATAGATAGATAGATAGATAGATAGAGGGCACAGGGTGAATTAAAGATGAAGGAGTGATATCTGGAGAATAAAATTAAGGGATGAGGGAGGATTATACTCAGAGAAGATGAAAAGGAGAGGTAGAATGGGGTAAATTATCTCACACAAAAAAAAACAGAAAAGAAAAGTCTCTTACAGTGGAGGGAAACTGGGGAAGGTGAGAGGGAATGAGTGAATCTCATTCTCATAGAATTTGGCTCAAGGAGGGAATAACATACACATTCAATTTGGTATGGAAATCTGTTTTACCCTACAGGAAAATAAGGGGGGAAAGGGACAAAAGAGCAGGGGGATAATAGAGGGGAGGGCAGACTGGGGGAGGGGGTAATCAGAAGCAAACATTTCTGAGGAGGGACAGAGTCAAAAGAAAGAATAGAATAAATGGGGACAGGATAGGATTAAGGGAAATATAGTTTTTCACAACTTGACTACTATGGAAGTGTTTTGCATAACTGCACATGTACAACCTATACTGAGTTGCTTGCCTTTTCAATGAGGGTGGGTGGCGAGGGAGGAAGGGAGAAAATTTGGAACCCAAAGTTTTAAAAACACATTAAAAAAATGTCTTCACATGCAACCGGGAAATAAGAAATATAGGAAATGGGGTATAGAAATCTATCCTGCCCTACAGGAAAATAGAAGGGGAAGAGGATAAGAGAAGTGGGGGAGAGATAGAAGAGAGGGAAGATTAGGGGAAGGGGTATTCAGAATGCATGCCATCTTGGGGTGGGAAGAGGGATGAGATGGGGAGAAAATTTGGAACTCAAAATCTTGTGGAAATGAATGTTTAAAATAAAAAATAAATGCTTTTTTTAAAAAAAAAAGAAAAGAAAGATATAAAACACAGAAACATGCAGTTATCAGAGTTTTGCTCCTAAATGGCCACAATTCCTGCCCTTGAGGAGCTTTTCTAATGAGGGTGGGGAGACAATACATAAAGTGGAGCTGGAAAGCTGGGGGAGTCTACCCATGAGGCAGCATGGTGCAGAGAAGACCGGGGAGTATGTGGAAGTTCTTGGCAAGATGAGGTGAAGGTTCACCTGTAGTTTAGCATTCCCAAGGGCAAAATCCAAGAAGGTTCTGTTACGAAGGGGAAGATAACTGTAGTGCAGGCAGCATGGTGTGGAATATATCAGTTCAAGGGTCATTGGACATTGGTCATTGGACATTTAGAGCACCAGCAACTAAATGAATGTTTATAGACAGTTCTTAAACTATGAAATTCCTAGCCCCCTCTGCCTTCTTTCCCACATTCCAGCCATCATCACTGCAAGAGCAGAAAGTAGCTAAATAGAATTCAGGATCATTCTGTATTCATCCCCAGAGAGCAAGCCTACTTAGAGTTGAGCCTCTCTAGACTTAACTAGGCTAATCCTCGGGAAGAAGACACATCCTGTAGCCAGGACCACGATAGAAACCTTTCCTCATAGTTAAACCTGCCAGATTTTACAGTTCACCAGCATATCTTCTGAGAGCCCAAGGTGGCCTCCACACCATGATGAGGCATCAGAGTGAGACTTTGTGGAGAGAGTGAAGTGCTTTCTTGTTAGAGATCCTTTCATCAATATTTTTTTAGACCAGTCATTCAATCAGTTCAGAATCTAATAAGGGTCTGAGCTAGGATTTGAACACAGGTCTCCCAATCCAATGTTCCTTCCACTATACCATGATGCCTCTTAACAGTGGGTTTCCCAGTTACTGTAGCCAGAGGGAATTCTAGGCATTGGGATAACTAAATCATAATAACCCCAGTTTTCTCTATCCTCTGTGTCCCAGTCAATGTTTGTTCCCTCAATTGGTGAAAAAAAATGGTGGTTGTAGCAGCAGCAGCAGGTAATTATCCATACATCCCTCCAGAAGCCCTGCTGCCCCAAATCTCCACCCTGTTGGAAGACATGACATTATAGGATTTAGAGATAGAAGGTACCTAACCCTAAATTCATTTCTAACCCTTCATTTTATAGATTAAGACACTGAGACTTGGAGATAAGTGATTTGAATAAGGTCACATACCTACCTGCTAGGGAATAAAGCAGGTAGCTATTTTAAGTCTTAGTTGGAATGCCTTGACCACTATACCAGGTTTCCTCTCCAATCCTACCTCCTCTGAAGTTCCGCTATCCTCAGATACAGCTTACCCTTGAAGGCCCAGAACCTCAGAAAATAAGTGACTCTTGGGAAAATGAAGACCCCTTCACTTTCAGAACCTCCAGGCTTCAGAAACCTTTCCTATGACCTCTGATTCCTAAGTATCTTGGTTCCTGACTCCAGGGCCCGGGATTAGTGATTTGCTCAAGGCGTCCTCCAAGGAGCCCTAATTCCCAGGTCAGGACACATCCTCCTAGGATCATCACTTACCTCCAGGTTGGTGAAAGTAGTCACCTCCTGCTGCTGCTCCCGCTCCCTCTCCTTCATCATCTCTTCCAGGTTCGTGGTCACGACAACCACCAACAGGTTAATGCCAATGAAGGCACCAATGGTGATGAAGATGGCAAAGTAAACAGCACCCCCGATCTCTATCCCGATTTCCCTTTTTTCCTTCCTGGAGACAGCAGGGACCCCTTGTCACCTTGTGCCCCCTTCCCTGAGATTCTGATGTGCCTAAACTTGGGGAGGACCAAAAGAATTCAGGAGGCTGGTCTAAATTGAAATGAGGTGGGGGAGAGGTAATACTGAAAATAACTTGAGCTTATGTCATATACCACAATAGACTTCAAAATGGATTGGAAATGGATTCCAAAATGGAAATATAAAAGGTCACATCGTCAAAAAAAGGTAGAGGACAATAGATGGAGGTACCTCGCACAGATACACTACGGAAAGAATTTCCAACTAAACAGGCAATAGATATAATCATAGAAGATAAAATGGGCAATTTTGATTACATAAAATTGAAGTATTTTTGTGTGAATAAAATCAATTCAACCAGAATTAGAAGAAAAGCAGTTAATGAGGAAAAATCTTTTCAGATGTATCTCTGAAAAAAGTCTGATATATAAGATGTATGGTGAATTGATTTTTTTAAAAAAGTAATATATACAAATAAGAGCCATTCTCCAACAGACAAGTGGTCAAAGGATACAAAAGAGACAGTCTGCAAAAGAAGAAATTTAAACTGAGCCACATAAAAGAATGCTCCAAATCACTACTTAGAAAAATAAGAAAGAACTCTGAGTTCTCACCTGGCAAAGATGCCAAACTGGAAAAAAGGTAAATGTTGGAGGGGCTATGGGGAGACAAGCACATAAACTATGTGATAATCCCACTGTTGGGGGATGAGGAACACCTTAAAATTATACTAAAAAAGTCACAAAGTTTTATGTGCCCTTTGACCCAATAGTACCACTACTAGGCATATGCCCCAAGGAAGTTTAAAAAGAGAAAGATCTCATATGCACAAAAAATACTAATAGTAGCACTGTTTTTGTAGTAGCAAATCACTAGAAGAAAAGTGCGTACCCATCAATTAGGAAATGACTGAGCCAATTGTGGTCTATGATTGTAATGGAATATATTCCTATATTGTCAGAAATAATGAACATGGAGAATTCAGAGAAAATTGGGAAAGGTTGTATGAATTGATGCATAACAAGGTAAGCACAACCTGGAGAATAATTTACATGATGATCTTAACGAAGTAAAAGGGAAAACAATATTGAAAGACCTCTGAGCAGTGCAGTATACTGTCATGATCAAGGGAAAATTTCTTACCCTCTCTGAGCCTTAATTTCCTTATCTGTAAAGTGAGGAGGTTACACTAGATGACCTCTGAGATCATCTTCTGCTCAAATCTATGTTCCTATGATTCTAGAGGGACTGATGGTTAGGCCAGCCTCCCACCTCTGAGCAGAGAGGTGGTTGCCTATAGGTACAGAATGAGGCATGCATTTCTGGCCATGGCCAGTGTGTTGATTTGTTTTGCTTGGTGGAGTTTATTTGTTACAAGTAAAGATTTTTTTTTTGTCTAGGGAAAAGTGTGTGTGTGTGTGTGTGTGTGTGTGTGTGTGTGTGTGTGTGTGTGTGTATGTGTGTGTGTGTGTGTGTGTGAAGGTGGGAAAATAGTATCAATGTAAAAAGCATTAATAAAGCATTTTTAAAAGAAAATAATTTAGACATTAGGGTTAACTGTAGGCAGTATGCTAAAGATAAATTGGTCCATATGCCAATAGAAATTGTGCAATGGAATAAAAACAAAATAACTAGACAGAATGAAAAAGAAATTAGCCCTCTCCCTCTAAAAAAACAAAGGCTATGGACCTGGAAGGAATTGAACAAGGTTCCTTCATTCTTTGGAAACTAGGCATTTCAGTGACAAAGAAGGAAGATCTCAGCTCTGCTCTTCCTTCAGGCTTTCTTCCCTTGGCCTGAAGGGTTCCTCAGCCTTAGTCTATGGTCTTAGCATTCCTCCACTATCCATGACATGGTAGAACCCCTGGAATCATGTTGGGAGTCAACTCTAGCCCTCAATCAAAGGTCCCTCACCATCCCCTCACCCCATTATTCTATTGTATTCATCGTAGTTTGTGTGACATTTCTCTTCTCAGGGAAGAGGTCCTGTGCAAGGCCCATCCCCATCCCACATCTGGGGGGGGGGGCGGCATTACTTTACTTACTGAAAGTCCTTGTAGATGTCCACCCACCCATCCTGGGTAATACAGATAAAGAGAGTATAAAGGGCCACTTTCATGTTCTGGAAATGTTGAGGGACCATGGAGCCAAAGAGGGTGACTCCAAAAACAGAGAAAACCTATAAGGATGAAAGGAGCGGGTGTTTTAGGGTCTAGTGTTTTCCTCACCAAACTCCTAGGAGATGGATAGTATAAGCATTATTACATCCATTTGGTAGATATGGAAAGGGAGGCTCCAGGAAGTAAAGGGATTTGTCTTATGTCATGTTAACATCACATAAGGGATTTGCAACCAGGTCTCTTGACCCCAAAGGCAGTACCATCTCCAAGGGCTTGGGCCAGAGGTGGTTTTAGGAAGGGGGGTAGGATGGGAGAAGGTACCCCTTAAGAAGGCCCCAAGGAAGAGACCAACCAGCATGAAGAAGAGGATCAGTGCCATGATGTTGGCCATGTCGGGCACAGACTGCATAATGACACGCAGAATCCGGGCCAAGGGCTCCACTGCCATGCATACTTGCACCAGTCTCAATACTCTGAAGATGGGAGAGGGGAGAGGGGAGGATTACTCAGGTTCTCTGTCCTCTTCTTGCTCCCTCCCAGGAGAGGGTCCCCTCTCTCTCCATCCCATTTTCCCTGGGGTGGTCAAGAAAGCAGGTGATCCTCAGCTCCTCAACTCCCCTCTTGCCCAAACATATCCTATCCTCACCCCACCAGCAATGCCCCTCATCTGCCTTCCTCTGAAGCCCTAGTTGTCAGTCTAGGCAGCAGCAAGTGTGGCTCAAGGAGACAGGCCAGTCCTTTCATCCTTCCTACCTCAAGGTGTAAACAATGGAAATGGTTTGGAACGTTTCAAAAAAGAGGCTCAGTACCAGCATAAAGACGATCACAAAGTTGAGTATGTTCCATCCATCCTAGGAGGGAGGCGAGGACAGAATCAGTGGTTAGAGGTCATGGCCTAACACCCAGCTCCCCTGCTTCTCAACAGATGTGTTATCACTGGCCTTTACCACCACCAGGAGCAGCAGCCCGTGCCCCATGCTGCCGTGATCTGCAATCTCAAGTCCCATGGAACTTGGGGAGGGTGTCAGAGCTTTGATAACCATTGAGAAGAAGAATCAATTACTTCTGGATATTCATACAGAACCAGCATCGGGGAAGAAGAGTTGGGGTCAGAGAAAGAAGTTGCCCAGGACCCTGAAAGTAGTGAGCATAACCCCAGCATCACTTCCTTATGGGTTTATTCCACCCAGTCTTATGAGACCCTGCACAGAGACACACGGAAGGGCAAAGAATGAACATAAGAAATTCCAATCCATTCCCTGCCCAGCTGTCAAAGTGATGTTCTCCAAGTGCAGGTCTGACCTTGTCATCTACCTATTCAATAAAGTCCAGTGTCCCCCTATCACTTTCAGGATCAAAGTTCTTTTAAAGTCTTGACTTTTAAAACCCTTCATAATCCAACCTGCACTCTGCCTTTCCAGTCTTCCCCAGCCCCCACTCCGTGATCGAGTAATACTGCTCTTCTAGCTCTTTCTCAAACCATATACTCTATCTCCAGCTTGCAAGCATTTTCTCTTCCTCATACCTGGAATTCTCTTCCTCTGGATCTGTACCTCCCTGTCCTTCAAGTCCCAGCTAAAATTCCATTTTCTACAAGAAGCCTTTCCCAATCCACCTTAATGATAGTTTCTCTCTCTCTCTCTCTCTCTCTCTCTCTCTCTCTCTCTCTCTCTCTCTCTCTCTCTCACACACACACACACACACACACACACACACACATAACATTCCATAGACAGATACTTATACACAGACATATACATATCTTGCCAAATGACACACATACACACAGGCATACAGATCACCCCCTCCAGATGGACAGATGGACACACACAGATATACAGTCTCCTCTCCACAGACAGACACACAGACCTAAAGGTACTCACCCTTCAGATAGACACAGACATACATCAGACACCCACACACAAAACGCTCCATAGATAGATATTTATCCACAGACATGCAACCACCCCTCCAAGAGACATACAGATATACTCTACCCACCAGAGATGGATACACATCCATCTCAAACCGCAGAGACAGACACCTGCTCACACCAGTGCCCATGCACTCAGTCACACAAAGAAGCCTTCAGAAGAATTCAAGACATATGGGAGCAGAAGCACGGTGGAGCAAGCATCATGTTTGGGGACTAGAGGGACAGGACTGAAATCACCTTCCAGAAAATCCAGAAGCCGTTAAACCAGCCAAGCAGAACCTCACACATGAGAATTGTAAGCACGATGTCATCTATGGCAGAGAATAACTCATAGTGTTTCTGCATGAGAGGGAGAGAAAAAGAAACAGACAGACAGAGACAGAGAGAGGAGAGGGACAGAGAGAGAGAGAGAGAGAGACAGAGGAGAGAGAAAGAGAGAGACAGAGAGAGAGAGTAACAGGAGAGAGAGAGGAGAGAGAGTAACAGGAGAGAGAGAGGAGAGAGAGGAGAGGAAAAGAGAGAGGGGGAGAGAGAGGGGAGAGAGAGGGAGAGAGAGAGAGAGGGAGGGGGAGAGAGAGAGAGAGAGAGAGAGAGAGAGAGAGAGAGAGAGAGAGAGAGAGAGAGAGAGTCATTCAGGCAGGCCTGGGAGTAAGGGGAGATGTGGCTCTAAGGTTCAAGGGTGGGGGATGACAGGAGTGGGAATGACAAGAACCCTAGGTCTGGGTTGGGTGAAGGAGGAGAGAAGAGGGAGGATATCTTTAGTCATCTCCACTTCCTCTCTCCACTATATATATATATATATATATATATATATATATATATATATATATATATATATATATATATATATGTTTCTTAAGACTCAATTCTAGGCGGCATAGTACAGGACAAAGAACGATAGAGTTGGACTCAAAGGACTTGGGTTCGAATCCTGGCTCTTCTACTTACTATCTCTTGGCCAGGTCACTTAATTTCTCTGGGCCTCAGTTTCTTTATCTATAAAATGGTCAGACTAGATAGGTCTCTCTTTCCAATATTATATCTATGATCCCAGTGCTGCAAGAAAACTCAAGAGTTCATTGGGTCCAACTTTCCTCCTTCCCTCCCATTTAACAGATGACAGAAGCTAGACATGGACAGGGGTGGGTAACCTGCAGCCTCGAGGCCACATGTGGTCTTACAGCCACAGGCTCTCCACCTCTGACTAAGGGATTTGCCCATAGTCACCTAGCTGGTAAGAAACAGAGCCCAGGTTGGAACCCAGATCTCCTGACCCCAAATATGGTTGTTTCCTCTTCTGTTCTCTCCTCCTTGGTACTGCTTTCATCTACTTTCCCAGCGTCAAGCATCACCCCTAAGCAGGCAATCCCCAAACTCTCTCCCAGCCCTGACTCTCCTCTGAGTTCCCCACAGACCTGCATCGCCAATTCCCCCCCCAGGCCACCTTCACATCTCAACCCAAGTGTCCCAAGCTGAACTTATCCCCTTCCCCCTCCCCATCCCCAAACCCGACTTTCCTATTTCTATCTTTGATGCTATTACCGCGGTCTCCTGGGCTAGAAACTCACCTTTGGCTCTCCCCCCCTGCTCACCACCCCCTCCTCTCCATCTCTTGCCCTTCTCAAGTGTTACTCTGTCTGGTCCCTGACCTACTCCTCCTTCACGCATGTCAAACCTTTAGGCAGGGGGTATGCTGTAAATGTTTTTTAACAACCAGCTTTCTGGAGGAAGAAAAAGCCAAAGTACACATTTTAAAGTTCAATATAAATTATTAACATTTTCTCCATCACTTTCTTAATTCTACACAACCAACAAAACACGAAATCGAGCCCTGATTTGTTGTGATTTCCTAGGTGTAAAAGTTCACACTGAAATCTGGAGAATCGGTCTTTCCTGGGTCTATCGGATCTGGGTCTGGCATGCCCCTACCTTCAAGCCAGTTTTCTCCATTCTTCCCTGTTACCAAGGGAGGAAACTGGCTGGGGATTGGGGCGGCAAGGTGGAGGTGGAGAAGCACAGCAAGAGGTTAGTCAAAGCTCCCAGTAGGTAAGAGAGGGGCCCCGGGGCCCGTGCAGTAACCTTACTAGCTTTACTTTCAGAGCAGATGGCATGCCTGCCTCGGAGTCAGGAAGAACTAAATTCAAATCCTGATTCAGATACAATCTCTGGATGGCCACATGCAAATCATTTAATCTCTCAGTACCCCAGGTAACTGTGCAAGATCATAAGTTATGGTTGGTTATCAGCCTGAATGGGTAGAAGGTATTTCCGCACTGGGAGTTTCCCATGCCTATGAAATCACAAATCCAGACCAAAATAAAAATATTCTAGTCAGGTTATCTGAAAGGGGAAATAAGAAGGAGAGGAGAGGCAAGGGGTCCTTTCTCACTGGAACTGCCTGCCAGACACTGGTGGAAAAAGTTAGCCACAAAAAGGTCATAGAACCAGGGGACACCAGATCAGAGTAGCCAGAGCATAAACTTGGGGTGCTGATAAATGCTTCAGAACAAGCAGAACCACCCCCAGCTGGAGCTTGGACTGGCTAATTAATGTATGCTAATGATATTATAATGAGGGTAAACAATAGAAATGGAACACTGTGTGAGGGCAAAGGGAGAAAATGCCTGTGAGCATTGTAGAGAAGGGAGGAGAGTAGGATGTAACTTCCTAACCATGAGATGTTGTATCCAGCAGGGCAGTGGGACTTACTATGGACAAGCCTGGAATTCGGTGTCAGAAAGTTTTATCCAGAGCCATATAGGCTCAATACTTACTTTTCGAAATAATAGGAACATAGATTCAGAACTATCAGGGACCTTGAAAGTGCATCAAATCCACTCGCCTCATTTTATGTATAATGAACTTAGGGCCGGAGAAGTAAAATGACTTGCTCAAGGTCACACAGCAAGTTAGTATCTGAGGGCATGAGTTAAACTCAAGTCTTCCTAATTCCCACTCAAGCACTTTCTTCTTCACAGTACCAAGCTGTCCCTACAGTTACATGCCTTCCAGTTTTTATCATCCCACAATGGACACCTTCTCCCTCATGGTACCAAAGAATTGGAATTAGAAGGGTCCTCAGAAGCCACCTGATCTAACCCCATTATTTTTACAGATAAGGAAGCTGATGCCAAAGAGGTTAAATAACTTGCCCAAGTCACACAGGTAGGAAATAGAGCCAAGATCTGAACCCAGGTCATCTGAGTCCAAATCCAGTTTTCTTCTTACTCTACCATACTGCCTCCTCTTGGTCTCTCCAGAGCCTCCCCATTCTTCAAGGTTCACCTCAGAGTTCATCTCCTCCAAGAGGCCGTCTCTGTCTTTTCCAGTCTGTCTCTGATGACTGCCCTACAATTTTGCCTAACAGTCACTGTAGGCCTCTCACTGGGCACTTAGCACTCAGCGCCTAGTAGGGTTTACATGCCTTAGTCTTGTCTGTCTTATGGGATAGGGAATTCTCTGTAAATATGAACAGACATAGCATTCTCTTTGCTCTTCTCTCCCAAATTTGAGGCTTAGCCAAAGACAGTAGACACAGAATATGCTCAGTGAAGTCTTTTTAGGTGGAAAGATGAGAAATGGGTAGATATAAAGATTTACCCATCGGTGAATGGATGGGGGAAGGAGGCATGAATGCAAAGAAAGATAAATGAAGAATGATAGATGGAGGACTGCATAGAAGGAAGGAGAGATGGAGGAAAGAATATGGGGAAAAAAGAAAAAAAAGAAAGAATGGGGGAGGGATAGATAAAAAGATTGATTGGGAGGAACGAATTGGGGAGGAGTGGATGCAGAGTAGAATGAATTGGGAAAGGAAAGTATGGAAAGATGAATAGGGATGGATAGATAAGGGATGAATGAGGGATAATGATAGGAGAAATAAATGATAATATAGTTGGGGAGGGATAGATGGAGGGCTAAGTGGCAGATGGGAGGGAATGATGAATGGGGAAGGGACTGGTGAAAAGAAGGATAGATGAGAGATGGATGGATGGATGGATGACTAGATGATGGTATGGATGAGAGAGAGATGAGGGGAAAGGAATGAATAAGGAAGGATAGATGGAGAGATGATGAGAGAAGGACGGATAGAAGATGCTGTGGATGGGAGGAATGGATGGGAATGGAAAGAGGAAGAAATAGATCAGTAGAGGAGCCATGGAGGTGCTATGTGGGAATGGAATGGAATAATGGAATAAGCATTTATTAAAGCCTACTATGTGCCAGTCACTGCATTGTGTTTTTGGTTTTTATAAATATTATCTCTCACTTTTGATACTATTATTATCCCCATTTTACATATGAAGAAACTGAGGCAAACAGAGGTGAAGTGACCTGCCCAGGGTCACACAGCTAGTGTCTAAGATAGAATTTGAACTCGGGTCTTCCTGACTCTAAGCCCAGTATTCTGTTCACTATGCTGCCTCATGAGGAGGGGATGGGGAAAAGAGGAAGACCTTAGGTGGCGGGAGGGTCAGAATCAGGGTGCTTGGTCCTACCTGGCCAAAGTAAGCGTTCGTGCGCACAGCGATGGTAATAGCGTTAGCTGCCAGAAGCAAAGCCAGTAGCAGCTGGAAGGCCGGATGTCGAAGGAGCTGCCTGATGTACACGTAAGTGAAGAACTCCTGCATGTCCCAGGCATCCTGAGGACAGGGAGAGCAGGGATGCCACTGTGAGAGAGGAGGGACAGCCACCCCACCACGGAAGGAGCGCTGGGGAGAGGCCAAGTCGCTAGAGAGGGAACCCTGGGGTTGGCACGGGGCTACAAGGGGAAGAGTGCTTGAATGAGTGTGTCACTACAGAAGAAAGGGAGACTGGTGGGGTGGGAGGGGAAATGTCATTGCAGGGGTCCTGGTCACTTTAGCCCAAGGCCTTACTCTTGGTAATCGTGACCTCATGACGGTTGATGAGCACTTTTTCTTCTGGCCTTCCATAGGATTCTCGAAATCCTGTCTAAAGGTGGGAAAGGGGAGAATTCACTCAGAATATGCATCAGGGGTGGGGAACTGGAGTCCTCGAGGCCACAGGTGGTCTTCTAGGTCCTCAAGTGTGGCCCTTTGACTTCGCAGAACAAATCCCCCTAATAAAAGGATTTGTTTTGTAAAACTTGGACTCAGTCAAAAGGCCACACTCAAGGATCTAGAAGGCCACATGTGGCCTTGAGGCCACAGGCTCCCTCACCCTTTATCTAGACTATGCCAGGGGAGACATCCTTCCCATGGGGAGGTCCTCCATTCTTCTCTCTTTCTCGCCTCCCCTTTCATTTCTCCTTCCCTCCCTCAATCTCTCTCTTCCCCCACCCAGGACATCCAGCCAGAGGTATCAGGACCACCTACCCTGAGGAAGTTCAACGGCCTTCCTTGACTTTTTTCATCCCAATGTGTCCATTCGGCTCTCTCGCTCATCGTGTCAGCCTGGCCCAATGCCCAACCTTCACAGAATCTCAATTCCAAGAATTCTAAACCAGCCTTTCTAGACCACCTCACAAAGGGGCCCTGTGACTACGTGCATTCTAAACTCTCTAAGACCCCCTCTCTAAGACAGGCCTGTCTGAAGGGACAAAAGGCCCACTTGGAAGTTTGGGGACACTCAGATCAAGACAACTCAGAACACAAAATGACTTATTACTCATCTCCTGGGTCTAGAACTAAATCTGAAGAAAATAGAGGGGGTCCTTTCCTGCATCTCATAAGTCTCAGAGAATAAACATAGGATCCTCTCTAGAGCTAGAAATAGAATCTTGTATCTTGAGATAGAAGTAACCTTAAGAGATCATGTCGCCAACGATCTCACTTTTTAAAATGAGTGATGCCCAGAGAAAGGAAGTGACTAATCCCAAACCAAGTATGAATAAATAAGTGGATTCAAAACCACTTATGACTTCAAAACTAGTCTATTCTTTCCACTATATCTCAGTGCCTCTAGCAGGACAGATCTGGGGTCACCTCCCTCACCCTCTGCCCTTCCCAATTTCTGTTCAGAATGTAGAATGAAATGAACTTCAACTTCTACACCTCTTGTTTGTTTTGTTTGTTTGTTTGTTTTTAGGCAATTGGGGTTAAGTGACTTTCCCAGGGTCACACAGCTAGTAAAGTGTTGAGTGTTTGGTCTGAGGCTGGATTTGAACTCAGGTCCTCCTGACTTCAGGGCCGGTGCTCTATCTAGTGCACCACCTAGCTGCCCCTCAACACCTCACTCTTATTCACACACATATCCAATCTGCTACCACTTCTTGCCATCCAGTCATTTCAGCTGTGTCTGACTCTCCCAGACCCCATTTGAGGTTTTCTTGGCAAAGATCCTGGAATGGCTTGCCATCTCCTTCTCCAGCTCATTTTACAGATAAGGAAACTGAGGCAAACAGGGTGAAGTGACTTGCTCATGGTCACACAGCTAGGAAGTATCTGAAGCCAGGTTTGAACTCGGGTCTTTCTGATTTCAGGCCCTGCGTTCTATCCACTAAGCCCCCTAGCAGCTCCTTGACATTTCTACTTTTCTGCTTTCACATCTCTTTTATGTGCCACCTTCTCTAACACTACTACCGCCTTGATACAGGCCCTCAGCACCTCAGGCCTGGACTACTGCAATAGCCAGAGGGTTGGTCTCCCTCACTCCAGTCCATTTTCCACTCAGTTGCCAAAGTAAGTGATCTTCCTTCAGACTAATTGGTCAATTGACAGAAATACTTACAGTCAGATAGAGAGGTCAACCAGATTGCAGTCGCCCTGATTCAAGTTCATGTCCAGGTTGCTAGGGAGGACAGGGACTCAGGAAGCCCAAATAGGGCTTTGGCTCCTTTATGATTCATTCCCAGCCCTGGTCTTCTCAGTATCTACTCCATCTCCCAAAGGACAGGCACACCATAATTCAATTCAGGTCAGAAAACATTTTTATTAAGCACTTATCACATGCCAGGCACTATGCTAAGTGCTGGAGACACAAATAAAAATAAAGACAGTCCCTGCCTTCAAGGAGTTTACAATCTAACGGAGGAGACAATATGCAAAAGGAATCTGAAAAGTATGGGGAAGGAGGCCATGGTGGGGGGTACCTCTTAGGGGCATGATATTCTGAGGAGTGAAAATGAAGCAGAGCTGCTGACCCAAAATGGAAGTTTCCTGGAAGACTGTTAAAATCTACTTTTTGTAAGATGTTTTTCCAAGTCCCCTTCCCCTCTCCCCCTATTCTTGCTAGTGCCCCCCCCTGCACTATGTACATATGTATATAAAATATATATAAATAATATATTAACATATAATATCGTATTATAATATATTGATATAATTAATTATTATACCTAACATATTCTATATAATTAGATAATATATTAATATAACACATAATTATATATTAAAATAATATATTATGACATATAATTATACATCAATATATAATATATCATCACAGAGGTGACTGCATGTTGTTTCCCCCATTGGAATATGAGTTTCTTGAACACAAAGACGATGTTTTTGCCTTTCTTTGTATCATTAGCACTTAGCATAGTGCCTGACACATAATAAATGCTTCATACATTTGAAGGCAAGAAGCGTATTTTTCCTCAAGCCTTCCTATCTTCAAGTGGGCCAGCCATAGTCTTCTGAGAGGAGAGTCTATGCCAGGGGTGGGGAACTTGTGGCCTCAAAGCCACATGTGGCCCTCTAGGTCCTCAAGTGCAGCCCTTAGACGGAATCCAAACGTCACTGAACAAATCCCCTCAATAAAAGAATTTGTTCTGTAAAACTTGGACTCAGTCGAAAGGCCGCACCCAAGGACCTAGAGGTGGAAGGGAGAAGGAAAAGCACCCCAAATGTGGGGGACAGTCTGTGAAAAGGAACTGAGTCTGGGGCAGTTAGGACAGGAAGTGGACAGAGCACTAGCCCTGAAGTCAGGAGGACCTGAGTTTAAATCTAGCCTCAGACACTTGACACTTACTAGCTGTGTGATCCTGGGCAAGTAATTTAATTTCTACTGCCCCCCTCCCCCAAAAAAGGAGCTAAGTCTCTCCAAACTCAAAAGTAAATGCCAAAAAATTATAAAGATCAAATAGGGCTCAGAATGAAGAGATACGAGGAGATACCAGCAAACCACCTCTTTGAGGAAATGGAAGGTCCGTAGGTGTTCCACATTGCACCTGTTTTTAAACTTTTTCAGTATATTCATCAGTTGCACTGACTTTTTTTTCCTCTCCAAAAAAAATGCTATTTGTCATTTAGGACACCTCTCTAAGAGGGGAAGGGGAAGGGGAAGGAAGGGATGCTATCATAGGATCCTATGATGATACAAGAAACAAAATATCAACAAAAACTTATTCAAAGAAAAGGCACTGAGTTGAGAGACGGTGAGTCATGTTTAAGGAACATGAAGGCCAGTATAGCTGGATGGTAAAATACAGGAAGAAGTGTAAAGTGCAAGAAGGCAGAAAAGGTAGGAAGAGCCAGATTGGAAAGGTCTTTAAAAACCACAAATAGGGTTTTTATACTTGATCCGTAATAGGAGGCCACTGGAAAACATTAATTAAGGAGAGGACGTGGTCAGACCTACACTGTAGGATGATCAGCTAAGTGGAGGATGTACTGGAGTGGGAAAAGACAAAGCAGGGAAAATGAGGACATGCACCAGAACACAGCTGTATCGGAAGAGAGAAGGGGGCATGTATAATCTGTTTGAAGGTAACAACAAGGTTGGATATAAGGGTGTGAGAGTAAGTGAGGAAATGAGGTTGTGAGCCTGGGTGACCGAGAAGGTGGTGGTGACCTTCTCCCAGAGAGCTAGTTAGCTGTTTGTTGGGGATCCTGTAGAAATTTATGTACTTCTTAGGCTGAGCAGCAAGTAGACAGGATGGCCTCAAAGGGCTTCAATTCTGTTCGTGCCACATAAGAACAAACCAGCCAAGATGGGAAGAGAGGATGCAGAGAAGAGTGGAAGGAGGTGGGCTGTGGTGCTCAACCCACCATCACTTTGCCCAGGCTTCTCTCCTTTGTAATCACCTGGGCTATTCCTAAGACCATTGGAGTTTTAGAGATGGAGACACCTTAGAATTCACTTTTTTCTCAGGTTCATTTGAGAGATGAGCGAGCGTAGACTTAGACAGGAGAAATTATTTGGCCAAGGTTGTCCCACAGGTGGTAAATAGCGTCGTTGGGGACCCCAGTTCTTCTGCATCCAAATCCTTTCTTATCATTGACACAGGCTGCTCCCCCTACTGGAAAGTGCTGGTACTGTTCCTCGCACCTTCCTGACAGGAAAGACCTCAGGTAAGGAGACTATTTGGGTGAGCAGGAGAGGAAGCAGAATTACATTCCAAATCCTGTAGCTTCTGAAAGCCAGAGGTGAACTGAAGCCAGCTCGGGCTGGCTCATCTGTTAAATTTTCAGTGTGCACATTTACACCTGTTTGTTGTTGAGTCTTGTCTGACTCTTTGTGACCCCATTGGGGTTTTCTTGGCAAAGATGCTGGAGCGGTTTGCCATTTCCTTCTCCAGATCATTTTATAGACGAGGAAACTGAGGTAAGCAGGGTGAAGTGATTTGCCCAGGGTCACACAGTTGGTTATTGTCTGAGGTCGGATTTGAACTCAGGTCTCCCTGACTCTGGGCCCAGCACGGTCCGCTGCACCACCTAGCTACGCTGGATTTATATCTTAGAAATCAGCAAATGCTACAAATTAGAGCATGATTTATTGTTTTGTTCATTTCTAGACTTAAGAAAGTAATGGAAAAAATGTTCATAATGCAGGCAAAACTTAAAAACGTGCCACACATAAATTTTTCTTTCTGTTTAAAAAAGCAATTAGTTTATTTATTTTAACATTTATTTTTTAAAATTTTGAGTTCCAAATTCTCTCCTTCCTGGAGCCCCTTCCCCACCCACTGAGAAAGCAAGCAGTACATATACATTTTTTCCAGAAAGCCTGTTGTTCAACATTTACCAGCACACTGTTGCTCAAAGCTGTGTGCATGTGTGTGAGATGGACAGAGTCAGAGAGATACAGATGCAAAGGCATCCTTCAGCCTCCTGGGGCGGGCATGCAGAGAGAGGTGGATATGCACCCAATGGCCTGGTAAACTTCAGGCTTGACATGGTGCTGGGAAGGGCATACCAGGAATGGAAACTCTCGCCAGGCCAGAGGCTTTTGGTGCCATCACAGAATTAGCCCCTTCTGATGCTTTTATTTCTCAAATGTTTTCAGCAAACACTACCTACTTCTGGTGGATTGCTAGCAATTGGAGGTTTGGGGGGAGGACCAGGTGGTGTTTTCTTGTTGGCTGACAAATGAAGTGAGGGGCTTCAGGAAAGAAAGGCAGACTTGGGAAGTGAGCAGCTGATTAAGAGGGTGGTGTTTGAGTATAATCACATAAGGATTTACTACAGCTTAAAACATAGTTTGTCCATCTCTATCTGTCTATATATATCAG